TATGATATATTTGTTCTGTACTACAGTTCGACTGGGGATGGTATGACGTAAAGTAGTAGTAATACTTAGCGATATTAAACAATTTTGCAAATTCTTCTTTGAATAATATTCTTGCCGTTTCAATGGCATTGGATGATGTTGCTGCCTCTAGAATAATATATTTTGACAACAGATTCCTCACTATTAAAATCCATATATTTTCTCCTTCCGTAACTCCCACAAAGCCATAAAAAATAATGAGAATTTTTTCAAATGCATAAGACAAAGTATCCATTATTACCATTGGTAGCCCAGTTTTCAATCTTACAAGTTTCTTCCTCTGATATATATCGCACTTCATTATGAATTATTTGTCTTCTGTATTTCACGTAATGTTGTAAAATACTATTAATTGAGTCATTTACATGCCACAGTACTATATGTAACAGCCAACCGCCGTCAATGACAAAAGCTATGTCGGCTGTTGGTGCTGTTGTTGATTCGAAATTCATGCTGAACATGGACTTAACGTTTTTTGTAGGCCCATTTTATCAAATAGGTGTAATGGACACGGTGCTAACTCGTATCTGAGATGAAATTTCATGTTGGATTTCGTTTCAACTTTTAACGAAGTACGTTGGAAAAGTAGCGTTGGGTCTATTGTGATGATCTCGTTGTTAAATTTTATTGACAACGTTACGGCTTTCATAGAAAGCACCTTACATCTACGTTCGAACTTAACGTTGCTGAAACTTTTACCTACTACTTTATTCATAACCATTGTTCGTATTTCAAGTTCTTTGTGGAAATTAATGTTTTTATCCCCAGTGATTCCACTACTAATTGACATTATTTTATTTATCATTTGGAAAGGATATTGTATCCAAAAAAAGTTTTTCACTACGGACAAGTCAGAGCTATCTTTGTTGATTTGCGAGTCACTGACATCGATGTGCTGATGCGATCCCTCGTAATGTACGTCTGTAGAGTTTTCAACATCTACGCAAATATCGAGAAGGACGATTATTGAGGCAATCCACTTGCATATTGCGCCCTGAGTACAGCGTCTAGCGTGAGTTGAACCATCTATGGCACTAATAGCACGCATTAAGTACTGCTCAATAATCGTATCTGGCGAGACTCCTTATCTAAACTTATTACTCCAACGTTCAGTGCAGTAGCCCTGCATCGTAAATTTTACATATTCGTCGATCGAGATCTAATTCTCTAAATCTAGCATCATCAGTAGTACTATATAAATTGTATCGTACTAGTCAAAACAATATTTTTAAGTGGAATTGGGCCTTAGCTGCTGAACGGACGCCACCGTACCGCCACGCCAATGTCAGAATCTTCATTTTTTTGCTGTGAACATCTACAGTACTTTCACAGCATCAAATTTAATGTAACTTTAATGTATTGTGGAGTAACTTGAGACGAATAAAAGAGCTTTGAAAAATTTATGTACGTTAGCTAACAACTTTTCATAGCTGTTTTATGGAAGGACCTTTTTTTGGTTTTTGCTACAGTTTGCAAAAATTTTACATCCAATTAAGCTAAAATTTAATGTGAATGTTAAAGGCTGCAGTACCTACCTTCAGTCTAAATTAAAGCTCTGAATATTAATTAGAACGTGAGTTATCGAATTTCAAAAACACGGTTTTTGCGGTTTGAGCAAAAAAACTCCTGGACCAACCAGAATTTAAAAAAAGTATTTTTTTTTGCATTGCGGTTTTTTTTCATGACACGCTTTTTTCTGTCTGACGCGTGGTTTTCCCGTCAATCGCAAAAAACCGGTTTTGACAGATTTTGTCATTTTTTTTGACAGACGCACTGGAACTTTAAAGTTGTACCAATTAAATATGTTATTACTAACACCTTCTCCTCTATCCTAAGTGACTGCCCAGGTCTACACCTGCAAGCTCTCGACATTAGTGGTGCTGTTGTGATATGATGTGATACCTGCTAGAAACGCCTCAATCATATAATAGGATGCCATGTGAGGTGAAAATATTTTCGTGGCATCGCCAGTCAGCTTTGCTTTCAAACTAAATAAAATGTTGTCTTCGTACTCAGGGAATCTTTCGATGACACGTCAGACTGTCCTACAAAACCTTGCTAGGCTATCCATGTTTTCATCAAATTTCGGAATTATTCCAATCAGCTACATTAATAACATTTCTGTGGCGTGGAAATATTCGTCGAATTGTCTGGTTTGCTGGCTTGCACAATCTCGTTGTTGTAAGGTTAGGTGATAGTTGAAAAAGGTTGGAGGTGGACATTCCATTTCTCGATACGTTTTCGAACGAGAGTCTAATGCCTAAAATATTTTCCAGAACTTCGTTGATCCGTAGAACTTTGAGTACGTGTTGCTATGTAAAAGACTGGATTTTATTTCTTAATTCCTTTAGGTGTTCATATGAATTTATTCGTTACGTTATTTGCAACCCTTGTATTTAATGCGTAATTAAATAGAAAATCACGTTTTTCAAAATTCTCTGTGACTTCTCTACCATTAAGACTTTGAACATGCCAATTCGAATCTAACATTTCGTTGAAGTAACTAAGTCTATTGCCTACAATATTTTGCAAACTTCTACTCACATTAAAGGATTCACACACATTTCATAGTGTACGGTGTCAACCAAAATTTATTGTAAAATGATCATCCAAAGTTTATAGGCTCATACTTTTCTAAACATATTTTTCTGCCTATTTCTAGATTATTCAATCTTCGGTGGTGATAGCATTTTTTCTCTTTTCTAATAATTTATTAATTAAATTGTCCTCATTTTTCAGAAAAAGTTTCGAAAGCTTATTCTTCAATGTTCTGTATTATGCAATAATCAACTTTTATGCACAAAAGCGAAGTACGTTAAACGATCAGCTTACAATTATATGGAGAAAGTGAATAATTTAATATGATTTCAAGTACAAGCTGATGGCCAATAAAGTTTGCAAGGGGTAACCAAGGAAACTATGGGGAAGCAATTATAGGTAGTAATTTATTAATTAGATCAATGTTTACTTTACTGTTGATAGTTGCGAGGCTTGCAACGGTAAATAGTATTATTATCATCCTCTAACTTGTGATTCTCATTATAAATATGATGCTAAACCCAAAACTACATCCAGGAGTGGACGTTTTGATCTATTAGAATGTGGGCGACTTACGTAAGAGGTCATCTAACTTATCCAAATTGACAGTTTCTGCTGCCACCAATGTTACATATAGAAGGTTTGAGGATTTTCCGGTAGATTGGGAGCTGATAAATTTGGTACAGTTAATAAAACGATTAAATTATTGTAACAAAAAGGTGGAGCTATAGCTTAAACTAATCAACCATAGATTAACGAGACCTTACGCAAACCGCTGAGTCACAACTTCCACCACGAACGGCTGTATTAATTGCACTCTTACGTGCATTATTACGTCGTCAGTTGTACGCCCCTATGCCAACATACTTGCGCTGGCTTAACTGGCTGAGCCAGCTGTTACATGGATTTCTCAGTTATTTAGTAAATAAAGGCGTGAATCGTGGTTGAAGTTACTGTGTTAGAATCTCTTATCTGTAAGAAAATGTGCACGTGTCTTTCTATCTTACAGACCCAATTCTCTCCTTGCAGAGTAAGTGCAACGCAATTGCCACAACAAGACGACTCTTTTCTGATCCACCTCGAACTTAACTTCTCGACTGTCGTCACTTCACTCCCCTACCACGTGGATGGGGCCTCTCTTTGCAATTTATCTGTTGCTATCAAGTTTTGGTGGCTCGATATCCGCATCGAGTATGTCAAGTATATTGTACGTGACAAAAGTTAAAATTATAATATAACTTTAACTGCTTAAATTTCAGTTAATGACACTACTTATTTGTGATATGGAACGTCTACCTTAAGTTTCATCATAATTTCTAGTTTTTTATTTTTTTTATTTTTCTTATATTCATACAATTATTTGTTTATCTTAAATAAAACATAAAATAATCTATAAATAAAAATATTTTATAAAGGAATAACGCAAGCCTATAATAACTAGCAGTAAAATACTCACACTTTATTGTAAAGGAAAAAATAATACAATGTGTGTAACGGGTAACTCTTAAGGTATACGCAAATAATCGAATAAATTAATTTACTATTAGCATGAGGATGTACGTTACCTAGTAAAATTAATCTAAACTGTACGAAAAACTTTGTAAAATAATGGTTTAAAATTTAGAAATATTACAGTGTAGTAAAACCGTCAGATCATTTCATTATGGTTTGTCCATAAATACTTGTATAAAATAATGAGCTAGATCCTTGAAATGATTAAGTAATGGACGAGGAGGTGCAAGCTGCTTAGAAACAATAGCAGGTACATAAAAAATATGAAAATCAAGATAATCGACACTGAAACACAGGAGAGGGAATAGGAGGTATGGGAACCTACAAAAGCTATCTAGGTAATGTCATCATAAATGCTAACTAACTCATTATGAACACTAACTGAAAATATTACGTGGATTATAACTTTCTTTTTTATTTGTCTTTTTTTGTAATATCCTTGAATAATATCAAATCAAGCTTTCAGCGTAGTGATTACATACAAGAAGTTTTTCTTGTCTGGAGTTTATATGACTAGCAGATCAAACTAAATGTTTCCATGCCAATCGCCAAGAATTAATTTTAATTAAACTATCAAAACTGCTCGTAATAATGTTGCGTGTACGTATGTGTGATTTGATCCTAATAGCACACACATGTTCGCTTTAAGTGCTGTTCATGTAGTTGTGTATACAGTTGGTTCAGTTTGAAATAGTAGAACAGTTGTTGTATATGATATATTTTAAACATCTACATAACACATTTGCAAAAAAACTAATAGCAACAGGACATTGTAAATTGTTTTAACGAAAATTAAGTGGAGACATTTCTTGTACTTGAAGTACTGATATCATCTTTTTCACTTGATAAATAATATTTTACAATGTATTGTTTGAGACAAAATATAAATGGAATAAAATAATAATTTTCAGATGGCGATCAGATTCAATAAATGATGTAGAGAAAGATAGCAGTTCTATAAAAGTTGAATGTAATAATGGAACCATAATCACTTGTGAACAAGTAATATGCACACTGCCTCTGGGTGTACTTAAGAAGAGTGCATATAGTATATTCGAACCAATTTTAACGGCACAAAAATTACAATCCATAGAAAAATTGATGTTTGGTACGGTAAATAAAATAATATTAGAATACGATAGGCCTTTTTTAAATCCGAATGTTTCTGAAGTAATGCTATTGTGGGACGATGGATGTATATCCAGTGAAGAACAAAGCAATTTGAAGAAAAGTTGGTTTAGAAAGATCTATTCCTTTATTAAAATATCTGAAACAATATTATTAGGGTGGATATCAGGTAAAGCTGCAGTGCATATGGAAAGCTTAAGTGAAAATGAAGTATCTCAAGTTTGTACTAATATTTTACGTAGTTTTTTGAATGACCCTTTTGTACCCTTTCCACGCAGATGTATTTATACTAATTGGTATTCCGAGCCATATTCTTGTGGCTCATACACAGCAATGGCGGTTGGTGCTAGTCAAGCAGATATTCAAACTATTTCTGAACCTCTTACTGTGGATAATGACCCGTCTAAAGTAAAAGTAGCTTTTGCTGGCGAGCACACACACTTATCATTTTACAGTACAGTACATGGAGCATATCTTAGTGGACGAACTGCAGCTCAGATACTTCTTCAACCGAAAGATTGGGAAAAGAAAGATTTACTCAGTTGTGATACAACAAACGACCTAAGCTCTTGGATAAATGGAATCCATCTTACGTAGGACTTAAAAAGTAATCCGACAGCACATAAATTAAAATCATAAAGATATGAAGTAACTTGTAAATATACAAACACACACTTACACATATGCTGATATCAATTTTTCGTATTTATTAAAAAAAATTTTCGTTTTTTTCAACGGTAAATATATGTCTTTTCATTTTAATACAACTTCTTTAAACTAGAGCTTTTTCAGGACTTAATAGTTTAAGGTTATGACTTCAATTACTAAATATTAAATAAGATTTTGATAAACATTTTACTATTGAAATACATAACATTGTACAGTAAAAAATTTTATTTTTATTTTTTCATCATATGCTAGATTTTACCATTGTCGTCACCACTTATTCACGTAGGCTGTTGTTTTTAACGTTTTAAGCGTTAATATGCTGCATAATATAAATCGCTGCCTTGCTTGTATAACTTGAATGATGTGCTAGTAATAAATCATTTTCTTAGTAAGTTTTTGGAGGTCTCCAGTTTGAAAACACGTAGAACAATTTTTTTTTAATTTGGAGGTAATTGCATAGCGAATATATAAAAACTATAGCTGAAAGGTAAGATGTTAACCTAACCTCACAAATAAAGAAGTTCTCGTAATTTTTTAATAAACTAAGATACTAGTCTTATTCAATGGACGGTTTGTTTGTATAAGCATTCTCAAAAAGTATTACAGTTGATATTGAGTCGAAAAATACATAAACAAATAACTGTGTCTGAAGTGATTTAACATAACCTCAAACATTAAAGTTTAAATGAATTTCTAAGTTACTGTATTTTTCATGCTATAAATGACTCGAAATCAGTTGTTAATTAAGTTAAAAAACGACAACAATACACGTCTAACGACATTACCTTCATAGTTTAAATCATCGGATTCAATATGACACACACTGGGAGATTTCGGGTATTAAGTTTCAGAAGCTAAATATTTTGAAAAAAAAGAGATGAGTTCGGAAAACTCTGTGTAAAGCTAAGAGCTGAGATAATGAAGAATAGATGAATAACTGTCGTAAAATTATGAAATGTAAAATCCTATATTCCAAATTATGACTTAAAGAGGGTCTTTTGAAAAAAAATTTCCAAAAATATCGTATAAATGGTTGAATGACCTGTCTATAAATAGTTCCTTGCATATGGGTCATTCTTTAACAAACCGAACATTTTTTGACCAATACATCTCTGACTTGGCTAAAAATTTTTGAACCGATTTTACTAAAAAAAAAACCGAAAATACAAGTTCAAGGTTTTTTTTTCATGTATTTTAGATAATGAAAGCGATCAAAAACTCGATAACAAAAAGTTTTTTGGCTTGGAGACTAACTTTCAAAAATTTATGACTCCGGTTCTATTGGAGCTAAAAAATGTTTAAATCAATTTTTAACAATGAAACCCACCACTTAGCGTGTTTTAAGTATGACCATCGTATTCTACGACCTATTTTCCATCGAAAATGCTTTTTCCTTAAGTGGAGAATGATTTAAAGGCCCCTTTCATTTGTGGTATTAGGAAAACATGATCTGTTTACGTATGTCTCACAACGAACTTCTTGCGACTTTTATTTGATTGTATTATGTGCATAAACTGTGTCATTTGTGTATGTGTAGGGTATAAAAGCAAAGAAACTTAAAACTCTGACTACATTACGATTTTACATCCCCTTTGTAAGAGTCAGAGATATATTATACAGTTTACTTTATTAGCGTTTATTGTATTTATCAAAATTTGTATTGTAAAAGAATTTTTTTTTTATTACCCATAGATTTTTGTACCTCATAAGGGCCGAGAAATTGTCCAAACGGCTAAAACGTCGTTTTGTTTTTTAATAAATACAAAATTTGACAGTACCACCATTGGTCGTTATTTTAATAATTGAAAATGTTAATACTACATGCAGTATTTGTAATATAGTATTGAGAGCAATAGTGAAATCCAAGAATATGAGGTGTACTTTGCAACTTGGGGCGCTGTCGTCAGGTACTATTTGACTTTTTTGCTAAAGTAATAATCTTTTCTCCATGAAAAAAAAAAGCATTTTCGATGGAAAATTGATCGTAAAATACGATGGTCATACTTAAAGTAAGTGATACGATGGTCATACTTAAGTGGTAGGTTTTATTGTTAAAAGCTGATTGAAACATTTAAATTACAAGAATATAAAATGTATTGTTACATCGGCGAGACGTACTATTCGAGTTTAAGCTTTTGCTTAATAACTCGGGATACACGCGGGACAGTTCTATCTAACGACGCGATATTTGCAAAGGGGATACGACTGTTAGAACACAACTTGAAGCAATCAGTATGCAAAGAATGTCCCGATGCACTTAACTTGCGCGCGGTGCGCCTAAAGTTAGTGGGTTTTATCTAAAGCGAAATACTAAAGGGTATCTCGTCCGCAATCTAGACGACAACAGCACCGTTACCGAAAAAGGGGTTTGTTTCTCGCGACCGGACTCGGATGTATTAATACTGACACGAGTACCGACTTTCGCTTTAATTCTGTTGGTTCTTGCCCCGATAGTACCACTACCGTGGTGGATAGTGGCGTGCACGAAAAATAACTTATCAATTTTCAAGGGTCCACGGGTACCAAGTACCAATATCGTGGTGGATATTGGTGCACACGTAAACAACTCTTGGTAATTTTCAAGAATCCTTGGGTACCAATATCGTAGCGGATATTGGTGCACGCGTAAAAAACTTTAAATAATTTTCAAGGATTCTTGGGGACCAATATCGTAGTGAATATGGCTGCACGCGTAGACAACTTTAAATAATTTTCAAGGATCCCTGGGTACCAATATCGTAGCGGATATTGGTGCACGCGTAAAAAACTTTAAATAATTTTCAAGATTCCGGCCGAAAATGGGTTAAGACGAAAAGAAAAAATACTAGGAAATTATAACTTTCACACTTGCTTTTATTTAAATACAACTGGAGTACACGGCGAACCAGTATGAGCCGAGGTAAGTAAAGAGGTTTTTGCTGCGCGCTCTTGAAGGACTGAGTGATAGCAGAGGCAGACTTTAACTATTCAGTCAACCATTTGAGGGTGAAAAACAGAAATTACCTGGCTTTTCCGGGAACTCCGGGCCTTTTTATAAGGAGTAGTGGACCTCGGTGACGCGCTGGTTCGATAACAACGCAGGAGAGCTTGCCGGGGAAAAATCTTGCAAAAATGATAATAGCCGAAAATCCCATTGGCTAGAACTGCACTAGCTTAGCCACTCAGAAATTGGCACTTTCCACATCCGGTTTACTTTCCTCTTTGCGCTAAAAGAAGGGAAGCAGATTCACTTGCTCATGCCCTTCCTTTTTCTTTTACACCGAAGTTGACAGAATTTCAATACATTTTAACCTTAACATTATGACAGAATTTTATTAATATTCACTAATGCTCAACATCGGTCGTTTGTTCAGCTAAGCTTATTGCAAAAAGAGCGGTGAAAATCGCTTAAAAATTCGATTGATGCTATGGTTAACAAACAATCGGTGATTTATTAAGTAATACTACTACTTAAGCGCGAAAACGGTGGCTGCGGCCGTACTTACTTATAATTAGTGGTGGTATTTATAATAATAGCAATAATAATAGCTTTTTCAGGACTTAATAGTTTAAGGTTATGACTTCAATTACTAAATATTAAATAAGATTTTGATAAACATTTTACTATTGAAATACATAACATTGTACAGTAAAAAATTTTATTTTTATTTTTTCATCATATGCTAGATTTTACCATTGTCGTCACCACTTATTCACGTAGGCTGTTGTTTTTAACGTTTTAAGCGTTAATATGCTGCATAATATAAATCGCTGCCTTGCTTGTATAACTTGAATGATGTGCTAGTAATAAATCATTTTCTTAGTAAGTTTTTGGAGGTCTCCAGTTTGAAAACACGTAGAACAATTTTTTTTTAATTTGGAGGTAATTGCATAGCGAATATATAAAAACTATAGCTGAAAGGTAAGATGTTAACCTAACCTCACAAATAAAGAAGTTCTCGTAATTTTTTAATAAACTAAGATACTAGTCTTATTCAATGGACGGTTTGTTTGTATAAGCATTCTCAAAAAGTATTACAGTTGATATTGAGTCGAAAAATACATAAACAAATAACTGTGTCTGAAGTGATTTAACATAACCTCAAACATTAAAGTTTAAATGAATTTCTAAGTTACTGTATTTTTCATGCTATAAATGACTCGAAATCAGTTGTTAATTAAGTTAAAAAACGACAACAATACACGTCTAACGACATTACCTTCATAGTTTAAATCATCGGATTCAATATGACACACACTGGGAGATTTCGGGTATTAAGTTTCAGAAGCTAAATATTTTGAAAAAAAAGAGATGAGTTCGGAAAACTCTGTGTAAAGCTAAGAGCTGAGATAATGAAGAATAGATGAATAACTGTCGTAAAATTATGAAATGTAAAATCCTATATTCCAAATTATGACTTAAAGAGGGTCTTTTGAAAAAAAATTTCCAAAAATATCGTATAAATGGTTGAATGACCTGTCTATAAATAGTTCCTTGCATATGGGTCATTCTTTAACAAACCGAACATTTTTTGACCAATACATCTCTGACTTGGCTAAAAATTTTTGAACCGATTTTACTAAAAAAAAAACCGAAAATACAAGTTCAAGGTTTTTTTTTCATGTATTTTAGATAATGAAAGCGATCAAAAACTCGATAACAAAAAGTTTTTTGGCTTGGAGACTAACTTTCAAAAATTTATGACTCCGGTTCTATTGGAGCTAAAAAATGTTTAAATCAATTTTTAACAATGAAACTCACCACTTAGCGTGTTTTAAGTATGACCATCGTATTCTACATCCAATTTTTATTGAAAATGCTTTTTTCATAAATAGAGAAACGATTATTACTTTAGCTAAAAAATCAAACTGCAGTACCAGACGTCAGCGCCCCAAGCTGCAAAGTACCCCTCGTATTCTCGCTTCTTACCATTGTTCTCTGTACTATATTACAAATAGTGCATATAGTATGTTTCACATTTTCAATTCAAGGATTTTATTTATTATTAATTAAAGTTTGATACAA